GGAAGAGGGGGGGAGCGGGAGGTGAGGCATTTTGATTGACAGATAGTGTCTGGTAAAGTATTATTTGTTTATTTACCGTATATACTCGTCTATAACCCCCTCTCGTTTATAGGTCGACCTTGATTTTTTGACCAAGAAATCGTTAATTTATGATATTCCTCGTTTATAGTTCGACCCACGTTTTTGAGGGTAATGGAACAACAAAACCTTCACTAAAAACGCTCTACGTCCTATAAACTGAGGCTCGCCGTGCATGAAACACGAGTGCCGAAGGCAAATTGTTTACCATTTATTATTACGACACTTTACACTGAAACGCGGGTAGTTTCAACAAAAATATTGTATATTTCCATTCAAGTATTTATTCAAGTCAATTAGGAGGGAATATTATTGTAATACAACAGTTTTTTAACTAAACCATTCGAAAAGCGATTACGGTAACATCTTTTGAACGAAAGAAAGCGAAAGTCATTGTTTTCGTCACGATTTTATCCCACTTTCCACTTTAATACGTACGTAATTTCAGCAAAAATATTACATTTCCGTGAATGTATTATATCAAGCACAGTATGAATAGAATATCATTGTAATATAACAGAATTTTAACCGAAAACTATTAAAAAAACGAGTAACATCTCAAGAACAGAAGCTTAGGTAAAGTCTTTTGTTTTCGTCATGTATTTTATCCTATTTTACATTGAAATACATCACGTTTCAGCAAAACTACTTTTATTTCCGAGAATATATTCATTCAGGCGCAGTTTAGGTAAAATATACGTGTGATGTAACAGTTTTTTAACTGAAAACGATTCGAAAAACACGTACCCTCTAGCCCTGTTCATGGAGAGGACTGGGAGAAGCTGTTTGGTGCTGCAGACGATGACAAGGAAAATGATTTTGATGGATTTTAATGAAAATATTCAGAAATATGGTATCGTAGTATTTATTCAAGTCAATTAGAATAGAATATTATCATAATACAACAGTTTTTTAACTAAAAACCATTCGAAAAGCGATTACGGTAACATCTTTTGAACGAAAGAAAGCGAAAGTCATTGTTTTCGTCACAATTTTATCCCACTTTCCACTGTAATACGTACGTCATTTCAGCAAAAATATTACATTTCCGTGAATGCATTATATCAAGCACAGTATGAATAGAATACCATTGTAATATAACAATATTTTAACCAAAAACTATTAAAAAAACGAGTAACTTCTCTTGAACATCGGAAGGTTAGGTAAAATCTTTTGTTTTCGTCATGTATTTTATCCTATTTTACATTAAAATACATCACGTTTCAGCAAAACTACTATTTATTTCCGAGAATATATTCATTCAGGCACAGTTAAGGTAAAATATACATGTGATGTAACAGTTTTTTAACTGAAAACGATTCGAAAAACACGTGTACCGTCTAGCTGATACAGCTGGTGGTGCATGATGCGTCGTTGTAAACAATAGGAGGTTGAAGTAGAATACCGGGAATTATATTAAGTGTGAAATATTGAAAAGGTTTTTATTACCGGTATTTTTTGTAGATCAATGAGAACTGTGATACTGTATATGATATGATAAGTTAGCCTGTGCTAAGAACTTCAACATAGACTACTGAAAGCATGTTGTAAGGTAATTTAGCCTATTGTAAGTTGGTGAGCTTCATTTGCTGAAGGAACTGCACAACTTTTCATTACTAATTGGTACATATTTTACTTTTCCATTGTTTACTGGCAGTAAATGGTAAATATTTTTCATGTCTGAAGCTAAAAGTTGCTCCTCGCCCTTCCCATCATGCACGGGTTCAACCTAACAAAACTATTACGCATGTATAGGACGACCCCCAATTTTTTGCCTAAAAATTTGGTCTTAAAAACTCGAACTATACACGAGTATATACGGTACTTGAGATTTTTGTTTTTAGCTCATAAAATTCATAGAAATTACCTGGCCAGAATATAATTTACATTGCTGGAATTCTTATAAGATAGTGATTAATTTGAATATAAACAAGCTAAAATTTGCATTAGACGTACAAATTTTAGATCTAATTTTAGAATTTTATTAGAGAGCGCAAAAATTTTATCTTTCGTGCAAAATATATGACGTGTATATTCAAATTATTCGCTGTCTTGCAAGGAATCCAGCAATGTAAATTATATTCTAACTTTAGTGTGAGGTATTATTTATTACTGAACCTGCAAGCCTAGTCCTTTTCCCCAAACATTTCTCGGGAAGGTGGGGGGTAGGGAGGGAGGGAGCCAGCAAGCGTGGGAAGAGGGGGAGTTGAGTCCATTATTTGAATGGACATTAACCAGCGACTGTGTTTCTCTTAAATATTAGTTGTGTGTGCATACCATCATAAAATTAAGATGTTATTTTGACTACAAGGTACGTCTTGTGTCAGAAAAAGTGGAGTTTGGGGGTCGGCCCAGTCTCTATTTCAATTAATCCCATATGTTCTCTTATTTCGTTTACACGTTTCTCGTTTTACGCGGACCTCCACGGGTTCAATTGAAAGCGTAAATCCAGACTATACTGTAAATCACAAAAACTGGTTTTTAGAAAAAAAGGCTTTTTGTTCAATCCAGAAGCGACGTCTAGCTTTGATTACCCGGGCAGGAGGTGGAGAGGAGGTGACATTGTGTATAAGGCTCCGCTAGCTTAGGTCCAGATTATAATTATAAACTTTTTGGAATATTTTTCAATATTAGGAACATTTACCGGAAGGTAAAATGTTAATTTACATATCCCAATTAGGATACTCACTTTATTCTGATGAGGAAGAAGAAGGTCCTCATGTGCTGCAGAAAGGCCACAGACCCTGCATATTTCCTGGTGTCATGTGCCAAAAATTTCTTTCCAGGGTCTGCTTGACTCATTAACTGAGATAAATATTTTGTCATTTGACTAGGAGACAATTTCTTACCATCCTGTGATGAGAATACATAGGGGCCTCGATTAGGGAATCTGGTTAACCATCTTGAAGATTCTTAACTGGGCACAATATATGAGGAACCTTTGTCTCATCCATTAGCAGTTTTATCCTTATAGGTTGAGCTTGAAAATCCTCCCTTTCATTATTTCTTAGGATCTCCGTAGGAAAAAGGGTGGCATCTTCCTCAAAATACCAATAATGATGGATTATTGGAAATTGAAATCAGTTCACTGATTCTCATACCTGTTGCTATTGCTAGGAGGAAGGCTGCCTTCTGGAGCAATCTGTCCCGGTTCAGATTTATATTGTAATTAGGCCCCATAAGAAATTTAGTAACTTTATTTAGAGACCAAGGTAGGATTCTCTTAGGCCGAAGGGGTCTCAGAATGAAGAAGGACGATCTGAGCATTCGATAATTCTTGGGTTCAAAGTAATATTAAAACCCCACGCCAGAGGGTCAACCAATGCTGATTTATAAGACGCAATTGTCGATCCTTGAAGACCTTTAACTCTGAACAGAAAATCTAAAAATTCTAAAACCACTGTTTCCGACAATGTGATTGGAGTCGTTAACCTGATAAATTGTTGAAAAAGTTTCCAAGCTTTCGCATATTGCATAGAAGTTTGGAGCCTATGACCTGCTGTCACTTGGTTAACTATATCGAAATTACCCAACAATCTATTTAAACATCTTTTGAGAAACTCCAAGTGTGAAGTGCCAAGGATATCTCGAACTGAGGTGCAGTACCTGGTCTAGACATCCTTGTTGTAATTGTAAATTTGTGTGTGCGTGTGCAGACGCACGCACACAACACATACAAATAAATAATGATGGGATAATGCTCTCACAAATAATCAGAAACAAATTTATTAAAAATGTGCGTGCTTTATTACAGTACTTTATTAATAGAGCATGGACTTAGGGTAGACTCACATTTTTAATAAATTTATTTCTGATTATTTGTGAGAGTATTTTCCAATTATTATTTATTTGTATGTGTTGTGTGTGTTTACACACACACACACACACACACATATACAATACTACAGGTAAAAGAAATAATTGTCCTAAAGGCAAACACATAAAGGGAACATCCATTTCTTTGTACACAATTAAAAATGTACCCCCCCCTCCGGGTCCGCATATGTTTTTTGCTGATTTGGCTATTAGCGGTCATTTTGAGAACCTAACCCCCGCGAATTTGGGGGTTCTGTACTGGATGTTATATAAGTAATGTAATGACATTAGAAGTAATGCATCTTCAACCTTGGAATATATCCTAATATCCAGTGCATATGGCCTCAAAATATCCCCGAATTGGTCAGATTTCAAAATAATTTCCGAGGGTCTTACAGCGCCCCTAGGACCCCCAGCTGTATGGGTTTGCTGCGCTTACCATCGTCCTGCTCGCTTCTGAGTAACACTCAAAATGCGTTCCCTCACTTCTTTATTTAGCACTACACCATTGAGTGTATTCCTCACTGCCAAACATCACAGACTCTATTTATTCCTGTACTAACACTGAACAGACCAGCTGACTGAATGGCTGGTAAGCTGATAGGTGGTGAAAATTAAAATAAAAAGAAACAAAATAGTTTGGGCTGAAATATTTTTATCTATTATAATTGAATGTTTTAAGTTGAGTTCATCTAGGATGACAGATAACACCCAAGGTTAGGATGATTGGCACTAAATCAAATATTTTTTGTTTGTGAATAATTATTTTGCTACCATTTTTACTCATAGGATAAAGGGGCTTTCAGAAAGAAGGAATGTCATTAGAATGGGATTTCCTGTAATTTCCTTTTAATTTTATTTAATTTTTTGTACAGATTTAACTTTACTTAAGATTATCTTAAGAATATTTGTTGAACACACAAAACTTTCAACTTTTGATACAGGTATGATGAAAATTTAGAGATGCCTTAGTGTATAAACTTGAAACAGCAGTAGTTAAAATTATATGAAGTCTTTAGGACAATTCAATGATAACTTGCATATAACACTTTGCCAGAAGTTTTTTTTTTTCATGAAAATAAAACATTTATGAATTTTCTACACAGGCACCACTCTGCAACAACACTGCTGCGCCACACTCAAGCACTCTGGTAGTTCCTCCTTCCCAGCCTGAGGGGGGTGCTGATGTTGTGGATCAACATGGTACTCCAGTAAGACAAAATGGAGTGTCTATGAGTCATCTGTCTCATCTAGACTCAACCATTTTTAATGATATTCACTCCAGACAACTGCCAGCAAGAATAAAGCTTTATGAGTTCTACAATGCTCCCATTACAAAGTTCTGGGCTCACTCAGTAAGATTAATGCTATTTACTATGTTAATAAATATATGTACGGTGATATCTCCGTTAGCTGGAAAAATTGGTGCAGAGCACTTCCAGGAACGAGATTTCCACGCAAAAAGACGACTCTCTCTCTCAAAGCCGGAAAAAATCCCTCATCCCCCATACCAGGAAATTTTTCTCGGAAGTTCCACGAACTGCGCATTACGTCATCTCTCAAACCCAGAAAGAAATCCCCCATCCCCGGAATTTTCTCGGAATTTTCCAGAATAATGCATTTTTGGTTCAATCCAGAATGTGACGTCTAGCTTTATACTGTACCTAGGTATGTAAATGCCTAGCATTAACTCGTCAGGCAATTAAAACATCTAATAATTACTAAAATACGTAAAATTAGGAGAACACGTCGCTACCTGGCATTTAATTGCAATTCTCAAAACCCCCTCCCGCACCCTCCATCACACGCACTGCCACCTTCATCTTCTTGCCTGGCAAATCAGCTGTAAATACTCACAAGGAAAGCTCCGTACTTTGTGTTGTATTACCCAAAATACTAAGTGCTACGGGGATTTTATATTTGGTATTTATACATCTTAGCACGGTGAGGAAATCGAGTGACTTTTATTTTGTTTATGTCTCTCAGATGTTGTGTTTGGGGCAAATTTTATACGGTTTGATCAAGCATGGCAAGCACGCTCGTTTTCTGTCAAGGAAGATAGTGGATCTTTAATGACTAATGTCCTCTGCTTTTAAGTCACTTAGTGAATGACGTTGTTTTTTGCCCTTCCGGGCTCGTCTTCACTGAAAGAATATATATATATATATATATATATATATATATATATATATATATATATATATATATATATATATATATATATATATATATATATATATATATATATATATATATATATATACACACACACACGAGGTATGAAACACGAGGTATCATATATACTTCATTTTTGTTTAAAGTTCGCGTGTTATATGGACTAAAAATGAAGTATATATGATACCTCGTGTTTCATCCCAGTTGGATTTGGTAAAATGATACTGACATCCACATAAGCGGCACGGGCAGTTCCCAGTGGGAGGTTCACGGCGCCATCAGCTCGATGAACAGGCTTTGTGTGAAATATAACATAGTCTAGAACTGCTTTTAGTGTCCTTGTGGCATGGTCAGTAACGTTGCCTGGTCCCACACAGTAGGTCGAGGGTTCGATTCCTGGCTGGTGAGGTTGTTGATTTTATATATATATATAATATATATATATATATATATATATATATATATATATATATATATATATATATATATATATATATATATATATATATATATATATATATATATATATATATATATATATATATATATATATTATACACACAGGTATGAAACACGAGTATCATATATACTTCATTTGTTTAAAGTTCAAATAATAAGGAATATGGATACAGTGTGACTGAGCACTTAACCTTTAATGTAGTCAACTGAATGCACATGGAGACCCCATAATTTTTCTAATTATACATGGAGACTACATTAACTGGAAACGTTTAGGTATAGAAAATCGCGTGTCATTTAAAATTTTTTTTTTTTTTTATCTATATCTGTGAGGCGGTCGTAAGTCCCGGCGATTAAATTAAGTCCACGTAGTAAATGAGAGTCGAGGTCTAGGTGTATATATATATATATATATATATATATATATATATATATATATATATATATATATATATATATATATATATATATATATATATATATATATATATATATATATATATATATATATATATATATATATATGTATATATATATTTTTTTTTTAACCAGTAGAATTACTGGACTTTTAATTTCTCACTAGACTTGGGGTTTTATTAAAAGATTATTAGATGGTATTGCAGTGGAAGCTCCTTTGAGAGAAATCCCGAACCAGCACAAGAACTTACTTAAATTTACTAAACAAATTGGTGTCTTTTGACCGTGGAAGGATAGCGTCTGTGACTGGGATGAATAGGGAGCACTGTAAAATTTAGACACTTATACACTCCAACACTACAGACACAATCAAATAATGGTACACCAATATAAGCACCTCTTAACCTGAACTTAAAACACTACTCTGGGGAATAAAGGTTATACATGATATTGAAAATATTAGAAATTCAGGCAATGCCTCATTAGACAACAATAAATTTAAAGTACGAGTATTAGAAATGTTGCTTTGCACACATGAAGAACAGGCCTTAAGAGCGTTCAGCAAATATTATCAATCACTGAGAAAAGATTTTAATAAAAAAATAGAAATCAATAACTCTACAATGAATAGGCCCACAAGGGGCACTCAACAAATGATATCAACACCGAGAAAATGGTATAAAAAATAGAACTTATTAACTCCACCCTGGTAGGCGCTAGGGCACTCAGCAAAATTATATTACCCCAACAGATACACACCTAACTTAAACACTACTCACAGGGAACAAGCGTTATACCTGTGATTGAAATTATAAGAAATATTAAATACACACAGCATACATTAGTAACTGAAAAATAGTATTAACTACACACAAAAATATTGCCACTATTATTAAGAAGTTGCTGAGTCCTGTACCCGTGAACCATGCTTCCTAACCTAACACACACACAGATTCCACCTGCACTCCGTGGTGGTTTGCGGCACAACAACAGGCACCCGTGGTTTAAGGCCCAAATCAGCCTTTCTCCACCTTGGAAAATGTGCCTCTAAGCTCCACTGGATTCTGGTCCCAGCGTCGCGACCCTGTATCCTCAGCTGGCTTCACTTTACCCCAGTACATCGATGAAACTGAGAGGGAGTGAGCCAATCAGACCTTGCAGTTGAGAAGCTTTAGCTTCCCGTTAGCAAAAGGGTTTCACTAAGCTGCTTGAGATATGTGGTATTGTGAGCGAGGCAGAGAGAGTGATGACCCCAACCCGATCATCCGTCGTTAGCTGGGCACCCAGGCGGCTAAGTTCACTCAAGAGATCTGCTGCCCGCTAACCAGTGACAAACACCACTGATGGGTCCGCGGCGTGTCGCCAATCCTCAATCATCAGCGGCGGTCTCCAGCGGCAGTCAAGTGGGTTCTGGCGGAAACCTGAAATTAACTCACTGTTAGCTCTTGTTAACTTTATCACTGCCCTATCTAACCCCTATCTGGGGTCGAATAGAAACACTTGTTATACTGCAATAGCGCCCAACACAGGTGACGCGCGTGACTATTTCTGGACGAAGCCCAGCGCCAGGGGCGTCCTGTTGGTCGATTGGCACTGGCGGGACTGAGGACCAGCCGGCTTCGCCTCCCAAAGCGTTAGCTTGAGCCTAAAGTGACATATTTTCGCCTAACTATTAACTTTCTTTGGGGAACCCGTTACATTATTCAGACTGATAAACTATCTATCGTACTTTTAATTTAATAGCGATATTTAGTTTCATAATTGTCTCCATATTAATTGATAGAGGTATATTTGTAGTAGCGTATAGGCCTGGTTCACAATACCTCTTGCTACGTCTTGGGAAGCGTGGTCCTCCCTCAGGCGACCTTGAACTCCAGCATGCATTTGAAATTACGCACAGATTTCTGAATGTTACATATACAGGTAGTCCCTGACTACGACTGCTTGGACTTCGTCCGCCGGTACTACGACCTGCTCTGACCTTCGACCGTTGGGACATCGACTGCTCAGTTGTGACCATTTTTATTTTTATTTTATTTTTCTTTCTCCAAATGATAGCATTTTCTATGCAGCGTTTCCACTTAATGCTTGAATGCCATGTATAATTAAGAAAATTATGGGGACCCGTGTGCATTCAGTTGACTACATTCAAGGCAAGTGCTAATTCACACTGTATCCATTCCTCATTATTTATTACTTTTACTGTATATCCATTCCTCGTTATTTATTACGTTTAGTGTACTGTGTTTCAGTGTAGATTTTTAATTTCTGAAATTTTTTTATTTTTTTTATTTATTTTTTTTATTTTTTATTTTTTATCTATATGTCGAACACGACCATTCGGACTTACAACCTGGATTTGGGTCCCTAACCCGTCGTAAGTCAGGGGAGCACTAACTATATATATTCCCCGACTTCACGACTCCTTGAACTTACGTTCATCTATGCGACCTGCTCTGACCTTACAGCCATTGGGACATATGACCACAGCAGTCGTGACCAAAAATATTTTCAAATGACGCGCGCATTTTCTATACTGAAACGTTTCTGTCCCGGGCGAGAGCGTGGCGCGGCTTCGGTCGCCGCGTGGGTACACTCACTCAATGGAGCGCTTAGTCGGTGTTTGGCTATCGTATCCTATACTGATCGCGCTGTGAACTTTCGTTATTATCGTATTTAATTGACTTTATAATGACTGGAAAGCGTAAAAGTGAGAGTGCTGGTGGTGTTCCAAAGAAAAGGAGACAGGCAATTACTTTTGAGATGAAAATGAAGATAATAATACAGCATGAGAATGGAAAAACTGTAGCAACAATCTCACGTGACCTAGGTTTCTCACACTCGACTATATCCACTATTCTCAAGGACAAGGAACGTATTCGTGATGTAGTGAAAGGAACAACACCTATAAAGGGAACTATAATATCAAAGAAAAGACAAGGTCCTATTCACGATATGGAAAAATTATTGGTGATATGGATAGAAGACCAGATACAGAAGCGCGTACCCTTAAGCCTTCTAACCACACAGGCTAAAGCAAGAAGCCTGTTCCAAAGCCTGAAGGAGCAGGCAGGATATGAATGTGATCAAACCTTTGCAGGAAGTCATGGGTGGTTTGATAGATTTAAAAAACGCTACAGTTTACACAATGTTAAGGTGAGTGGAGAGGCAGCTAATGTCGATGTTGGTGCTGCCGAAGCTTTTAAGGACGAGTGAGATGAAGTGATTGTGGAAGGGAATTATTTGCCTGAGCAAATATTCAATGTGGATGAGACTGGATTATTGTGGAAGCGCATGCCTGAGC